ACAAACAAACAAACAAAAAAACCACTTGACAGAGAGGACTTTACCAGAATGTTTACAGTTCATTCTCAGATTTCTGTCCAGAGTAGGTTTCAAACTTCAAAGTTGCAAGAATCTGTGCACTATGAAATGCTTCTTTCAGGGGGCTTTATCTTGGGAATACCTTGCTCAATCCCCAGTTTGGACCACTAACCCTACATTATACTCCTATGCGGCATAGCAAATTTCAAGACAGTCCATTTAAAGGTGGATTTTAGAGCACTTGGAAAAGTCATCCTTTAAAAACAAAGCATTCTCTAACCTTAACTATAGAAGAGGTGGTGCACTGCTATAGTATTGTATAAAATTAATCATCAGCAACTACTGCTGTATCCAGATCCCTAGCACAGGATAATGCTGATGTGGGGCACTTTTTCTTTTGTTTTTTTTAAAAAGGAAAGACGGATGGAAGGGGCTCTACACATCCATCTGCAGCATGAGAGGTTTGGAGAGGTGTGAAGTTGCCCATCATCTTGGAGCTTGTCTATTGTGCGCGTTTTCATGCCATAGAGGGTGTAATTTCTAAAGTACACCATGGAAATGAATGCAGCCTGAAACAAATAGCTCTAAGATATGTGAACTGCCCCTCCAGCCCCCAGTACACACCCAGGAGGGGAGAATGTAGGGCTGACAGGTGCTCCGTGCTTCAATCTCTCTCACATGCCCTACCACCATGTCATCCTTCATCGCTGCCTTACACACACACCTTACCTGAGCCTTCAACTCCTTCCCCTCCTGCCCTTTATTCCCCTCCCTTTAATCCACATTTTCCTCAGTTGGGCTCCAAGCCCCTGTTCTTTCCCACCCCTCTGCTCTAAGCATATGCATGTGTAATTTGTTGTCTTTTCAAAAATAGTTTGATCACCTTCTGAATTTCATTACATTCTTTCCCACACAGCTCCCCTCCCTCCCACCCCTCCCCAAAAGCATGTTTTTATTTCTGATGTCTGCCCAAGGGTGGATTTGGATTTACAGTGGCTGTGTGTTGCTCAAGTTCAATGGCCACAACATTTGCCCTTAAGTCACATGGGTCCTGTGAGTTGTGGCTGGCTGCGAAGCCTCTTGTGCTCTCTGCCCATATGCAGTGTAATCAATTCAGTGTATTAGCTTTAGGAATGTTAAGCCTGAATTTAAATTGAGAGCCTTACTCTGTCTAATTTTCTGAATTTTGCTCCCCCAAAGGCTTAGGGGAGGAATGCATTCTCTACAGGTTTCAGAGGAACAGCCGTGTTAGTCTGTATTCGCAAAAAGAAAAGGAGTACTTGTGGCACCTTAGAGACTAACCAATTTATTTGAGCATGAGCTTTTGTGAGCTACAGCTCACGCAAGTGAGACCATTCTGCCAGGCTTCCAGTTGAAACTAGACAAATTCAGATGGAAAGAATGATTTTTGACAGAGAGAGAAATTAACCATTGGAACAATTTACCAAGGGTCGAAGGATTTTCCATCACTGACAATTTTCAAATCAAGATTGGCTGAAAAGACCTGCTCTAGAAATTATTCCTGCCTTATACAGGAGTTCAGAATAAATTATCACATGGTCCCTTCTGGCCTTAGAATCTATGAATAATAATTAGTCCATAAAAAATGTTAAACATTACCACATACATAGTTAAGCAATCAAGTCAGGATATAGCAGTTAGTTGCATATAAACATCTTAATTCTGTACCCTTGTGCATAGGCTTTGACAAACTAATCACATGCTATTTATGTGTATATAAATCTCCCCATTGTGTTTTCCACTGAATGCATCCGATGAAGTGAGCTGTAGCTCACGAAAGCTTATGCTCAAATAAATTTGTTAGTCTCTAAGGTGCCACAAGTACTCCTTTTCTTTTTGTCAATCTAGTTCACCCAAATAAGAATTTTGACTATCAGCATTGATTAAGTTATACAGTAACAACATACCCACCAAATTTCTCTGACTGGCATTTTAAAGCTATACCTTGATACTGACCTCAGCAACATTCCCATCTATGTGCAATCATTAGCTGTGTTATATGTACATGTGGAAAGTCTGAGGTTAGCAAGTCTGCCAAAAGATACACCTTTCCTGGCCAAATGTGGCTCTGCTGAGGCCTGCCTCAGTTTCACCTTAATTTGGTCTCCCTTTAAAAATGTCAACACAGGCCAGCTATTCAAAACATTCCCGCTTCTTAGGTACAATTTATTATATCTTTCAAAAGAAAAAAGATGATGATGTTGTGAGCTGTAGCTCACGAAAGCTCATGCTCAAATAAATTGGTTAGTCTCTAAGGTGCCACAAGTCCTCCTTTTCTTTTTGCGAATACAGACTAACACGGCTGTTACTCTGAAACCTTTCAAAAGAAAGTCTTTCCAAAGAAAACTCAAACCTTCAAAGTCATCATCCCTGTTTCAACTGGGCCCAGTTCCTCTTCCTCTCTTTAATAATTAATTTCTTTCACCCCAGTCCCAACCTAGGCACAGCCTCTCCTCTCTGAGGGTCTGTCTTCCTGCTTTCCCAGCACCGCTTGCCTAAAGACTGGCCTTCTCCACAGGCCTTCCCAGCTGGTGCTTTCCCTCTGCTGACTCGAGGCCCTGTGGTGCCCTCCTTAGTCTCTGAAGTTCAAACTTCTCAAAGGCAGCACTATATGGAAAAAAAATAAAGGGAGTTGTGACACTTGTCTCATGTCTGCTGGGCTCTTAAAGACAGAGAGGTGCATCAGAAAGTTCACCAAGACATCATGAATGCCTGGTAGGGGAGGAGGACTGTATGGGGTGTAGCATGGGAGGGCTCTATAAGGGATGTTACCGAGGTGGGGAGAGGGGGGCTCTAAGGGGTGGTACCGGGGACTCCTAGGGGCCCTGCTGGCAGTGACACCAAGGCAGGAGTACCAGATACCGCCACGGGTGGAGGCATTCTAGCTGGGACGGGTGTAGCCCCTGGGTGGTTTCGAGGCTCGGTGGGGCCGTAGGAGACCAGGAGGGGACTGGGTGCGCTGCCGTGTGTGGGGGGGGTGTTCTGATCCCAGAAACAGCACAGCGAAGTCGCACCGTCGCAGTGTGGCTCTGCGTGCCAGAAGATGATGCTCATCAAGGGAATTGTGAGTCAGGGGCTGGGGAGTGCCGTGCAAGTGAAGAGGGGCAACCCTGCTCCCCAGTGGGTGGAACAAGCCCCTGACCCCGCTCCCCAGTGGGAGCTTAAGGGCCGGATAAAAGTGTCTCAAGGGCCAGAAGCAGCCCGCGGGCCATAGTTTTCCCACTCCTGTGCTAAACTATTTGGGGGTAAAATATCCAAAGGCGCACACATTAGCAGCTATTATACTACTTGGATAATTCCTTTGTCCTGGGCCCAGGGTCATACAATCTTCTCCTCCGCACCACTTCAAGGCACTAAAATGTTATGCAATATTATCCTTTCCAGTTAATCCAGCTGGAAAATAAGAACTGTTATAGGTACACTGTCTTGTTCATAGGTTTCAGAGTAGCAACCATGTTAGTCTGTAGCTGCAAAAAGAAAAGGAGGACTTGTGGCACCTTAGAGACTAACCAATTTATTTGAGCATAAGCTTTCGTGAGCTACAGCTCACTTCATCGGATACGTGTAGCTTTTGACACGGTCTCCCACAATATTCTTGCGAGCAAGTTAAAGAAGCATGGGCTGGATGAATGGACTATAAGGTGGATAGAAAGTTGGCTAGATTGTCGGGCTCAACAGGTAGTGATCAATGGCTCCATGTCTAGTTGGCAGCTGGTATCAAGTGGAGTGCCCCAAGGGTTGGTCCTCGGGCTGGTTTTGTTCAATGTCTTCATAAATGACCTGGAGGATGGTGTGGATTGCACCCTCAGCAAGTTTGCAGATGACACTAAACTGAAAGGAGAGGTAGATGTGCTGGAGGGTAGGGATCGGATACAGAGGGCCCTAGACAAATTGGAGGATTGGGCCAAAAGAAATCTGATGAGGTTCAACAAGCACAAGTGCAGAGTCCTGCAATTAGGACGGAAGAATCCCATGCACCGCTACAGACTAGGGACCGAATGGCTCAGCAGCAGTTCTGCAGAAAAGGACCTAGGGGTTACAGTGGAGGAGAAGCTGGATATGAGTCAACAGTGTGCCCTTGTTGCCAAGAAGGCCAATGCATTTTGGGATGTATAGGTAGGGGCATTGCCAGCAGATCGAGGGATGTGATCATTCCCTTCTATTCGACATTGGTGAGGCCTCATCTGGAGTACTGTGTCCAGTTTTGGGCCCCACACTACAAGAAGGATGTGAAAAAATTGGAAAGAGTCCAGCGGAGGGCAACAAAAATGATTAGGGGACTGGAACACATGACTTATCAGGAGAGGCTCAAAGAACTGGGATTGTTTAGTCTGCGGAAGAGAAGAATGAGGGGGGATTTGATAGCTGCTTTCAACTACCTGAAAGGGGGTTCCAAAGAGGATGGCTCTAGACTGTTCTCAGTGGTAGCTGATGACAGAACAAGGAGTAATGGTCTCAAGTTGCAGTGGGGGAGATTTAGGTTGGATATTAGGAAAAACTTTTTCACTAGGAGGGTGGTGAAACACTGGAATGCGTTACCTAGGGAGGTGGTGGAATCTCCATCCTTAGATATTTTTAAGGTCAGGCTTGACAAAGCCCTGGCTGGGATGATTTAGTTGTGGATTGGTCCTGCTTTGAGCAGGGGGTTGGACTAGATGACCTCCTGAGATCCCTTCTACCCCTGATATTCTATGATTCTCTGAAATAAATTGGTTAGTCTCTAAGGTGCCACAAGAATCCTTTTCTGTCTTGTTCATAGTTGCTGTGCAGCTACCACCTTGCATTTCCAGTGTTTCTAATCTTTTTCAGGAGTCTTTTTTAACTGCCCAATAAAGTTCAATTTTTTTCACATACATACTTTATTTTATTTTACAAAATGGAAATGATTTCTAATCTGTCTCATTTATCTGATAATTACTTCCTTATCTAATTATCTCAACAGCTGTTCAGAAGCTACTCACCATCCGCAGGCTCTTCTATGTTATCATGCCAAGACATTGGCTTCCTGGTGATAGTGTGAACTGGGGAGAAACGTGATGATGCAGGTGAGTTGGTATTATGGAATCAATATTACAGGCAGTTTCAGGTAAAGCACTAGCTCCCCCTATCCTGTCTTCTGCCAGCTCACTTAGGCTGTTAAGGAGAAGAGAGACTACAGATTGGAAAAGGAGCACTGGTTAATGTCGTCACAATTCCTGGGAACTGAAGGGAATCAGCTTTGGCACCATGGGACCCTGGCACTAGGTGTTTGTGAGCAGAGAGCAGAGTTCATCCACCGATTTGTCAGGTTCCTAAACTGTGACCTGCAGGCCGCTTGCTGGAAGAGCACAGAGTTCTGGCTGACTACATGGGGCTAGTTCCTCCTTGTTTCTAGCTGCTAAATAGCATTTAAACCCCAACACATATACAAATCCAAATATTACTTTCCCATGTCAGTATGGGCAGTGGGTATAAGAGGCTTGGGGAGACTAAGCCTCTCCAAACGGGGCAAGAAATGCCAGACACAGTGCACCTCCCCTTGGAGGAGCAGTGACCCACTGCCTTTGGAGCACTGCCTCTGGAAGCTCCAGAGAAGTGGGGGAGCCATTGGTGCTCTGACTATGACCCCGCCCACATGCTGCCCCGAAGCCCCACTCCCATGGGGCCTCTTCGCCCTGAGGCCCTGCGCTCGCCCCCCTCTGCCCCCCCCCCCGCACCTGCTGCTTGCACCTCTCCATGGGAGGAGGTGGAGACGTGCGGGCGGGGCAGGAGGCAGGGCCACAGTCCAGGCACCCTCACACTTCTAGGGAGCTTCTGGCACTTGCACCCAGCCTCCCCAAACACAAGAGTCACGCACTACTTATGCATGTCAACAATTGCTGTAGTTGCCACAAGGATATTACATGACTGTGAATAGGAGGAAACTGGAGCCTGGCTAGCGGATAGGGAGGACCTTCTGTCTAGGGCCTCCATCCCATCTTGCCCCAGTTTTGTGACCCCAGGCCACCACTGCCAGTTCCAGACCTGCTCCCATATACCCCAATCTTAAACTGGCCACGTGGGCTGCCTCACAACTTCAAGTTAGCCATACCCTGGGCCCTGTCTCTCGTGTCTGAGTGAGTCGGCCATGTTCACCAAGCACTGTCTACCCCAAGAGAGCAGACTGGCCCCTCCGACCCCCCGATCCACTTGGTGGAGTCAATCCCTTACTCTGTCATGGCCCTCCTACATGTTGCCCCGTTGCCTCCCCGCTCCCTTCTCACCCCATTTGAAGGGGGTGGCCCCCTTGCCCCCCCCGTTCTCAAAGGGGATTTGTACTCCCCCATCCGGTCTCACTCTGTTTCAGCGGGTAGGCCGCTTTCTCCCGCCTCACCCCGTTTGAGGGGGTTGACCCCGTACTCCGTGTGCAGTTTCTGGCACCGTAGCTCCTTCCGGACGGTCTCGCAGAAAATCTGGTTCTGATGCACCAGGTCGGGCGGCTCCTTCTCGCGGCCCCGCGCCGCCATGGCCGGCCCCGCTCCCGGGAAGCTGGGAACGCGGCGCGGCGAATTCTCAGCGACTACGTTTGTTTCATTCTTGTTTCCTAGCAACGGCGCTTCGCCCCGATCCTTGGTCAGACGCAGAGGACTCGCTGATTGGTACGGTTCAGACCACGCCCCTCGATCAGCAAAGCCCCGCCCCCAGTCCCAATTGGCTCTCGAGTTAAAAGTCCCGTTGCTGATTGGCTATGTTCCCCGCCGGCATTTTTTAATCTCCGTCTGGCTGATGTAGAGCCCGCAGCCGCGACTAGGGAATTGGGGGAACCGCAGCTGCGGCGTCGGGTCCCGGGCGTGACCCGCTCGGTCTCCCGCTCCTCCGCCAGCGCTTGGCAGCCCCGCCGCGCCAGCATCCTGCCCCTCGCAGGGAGCCCGGACCCGGGGCCGGCGCCCCGGCCAAGCGGGTGGAGCTGACGCGGCTGGACGCGGGCTGCTCGTGGCGGCGGGGCCCCTGGCAGGGCGGACGCCGGTCTCCGGCCGGGCTGAGCGCTGCGCTGTTTGCTTCGGGGAGGCGATGCAGGGCGCGGAGCTGGACGCTCGGATCCGCTGCAGTGTCACCATCGAGCGCCTGAGCCCGGGCGGCCCGGCCTCGAGGCGCCGGCTGATCCGCGACGCCGCCCTCGCCCTGGGCCGGGACGAGTTCCGGGAGCTGGCGCTGCAAGTGAGCGACGGCAGCGTGGCGCAGAGCTTCGCGCTGCGCGGGGAGGTGCGGCTCTTCACGCGCTTCGTGCGCGACGGGAAAAGCGGCCTGCAGCTGGGCGCCGCGCAAGTGCAGCTGCTGATCGCCAACTGCGCCCCCGACCGCCTCAGGCGCTTCCTCCGGCTGCTGCGCATCAAGCGCCAGGCGGCGGGGAAGGGGCCGAAGACCGTCACGGAGCGGGCGCGGCTGCTGTCCAGCCTTCCGCGCACCTTCGACACCGTCAGCCCAGTCCAGGCCCGGGACGTGCAGCAGGCCTGCGCTCAGCGGGCCCGCGCGAGCTGCGAGGCAACGCCTGTGAAAGGGCAGGCCCCGAGGGACCGAGGGAACAACGGTCTGCGCAGCAAGGCGCGGAAAAGAGCCAGGACAGAATCGGCTGAAGCAAGCGCTGTAAGAGCTCTCGAAGGAGGCATGGGGTAGGGGTGGAAGCCCGCTTTGGGATATGGCTTAAGTAGGAGACTTGCGGGAGGGGGAGTTGCTGAGTGCGCTCATGGTTTGGGGAGGGGGGGATCTTTTGTGGATCCATGGTACCCCACATCTTGAATTGTGTGCAGCAGATGTGGTCGCCCCATCTCAAAAACGGTATATTGGAATTGAGAAAGGTTCAGAAAAGGGCAACAAAAATTATTAGGGGTATGGAACGGCTTCCTTATGAAGAGAGATGAATAAGACTAAGGCTTTTTAGCTTGAAAGAAAGATGGCTAAGGGGAGATATGACTGAGGTCTATAAAATCATGACTGGTGTAGAATAAGCAGATAAGGAAGTAGGGGTCACCAGATGAAATTAATAGGCAGCAGGTTTAAAACAAATAAAAGTATTTCTTCATACAGTCAACCTGTGGAACTCCTTGCCAGAGGATGTTGTGAAGGCCAAGACCATAACAGGGTTCAAAAAAGAACTAGATAAATTCATGGAGGATAGGTCTGTCAATGGCTATTAGTCAGGATGGGCACGAATGGTGCCCCCAGCCTCTGTTTGCCAGAAGCTGGGAATGAGCGACAGGGGATGGATCACTTGATCATTACCTGTTCTGTTCATTCCCTCTGGGGCACCTGGCAACTGACAGGATACTGGGCTAGATGGACCTTTGGCCTGACCCAGTAGGGCCATACTTATGCTCTTATGACTGCAAGACTGGGACACTACATTAAGCAGCAAAGAGTCTTGTGGCACCTTCAGGACTCTTTGCCGCTCTTACAGATCCAGACTAACGTGGCTACTCTTCTGATACATTAAGCAGGTAGTTAACTATAGACTAAATATTTTGTAGGTGGTTCCATCTGTTTCTGAATAAAATCTGTCCTTTATGGTGGCAAAGAAAGCCTGGAGTGCTGGGCACTCCACAATCTGCAGACCGCCTGCATCAGTTGTTTGGAGGCCTCCTCATTATCTAGACTAGAAAAATAGGGTGTGTCTGTCAACTACATTGACAAATGTGTTAATTAACATGCTTTTAAGCACAAGGTACTACCTAGAGTAGAAAGACAGTGGTGTTCAAAAAATGTTTGCTGGGTGTGTTCAGTGGAAAGGTTCACCCAAAGTCGTGGTTAAAAATGAATTCCTAAATATTTTCCTGATCTAGTCAGGGTCTGAGAGAAGTCAGTTGTTCCATTTCATGTAAATAACACATGGACTCTGAACACTAACAATGACCAAATGTTGCAAAAGATTAGTATCTTCTTTTTTTTATTGGACCAACTTTCAGCTGGTGAAAGAGACAAGCTTTTGAGCTACACAGAGCTCTTCTGGTCTCTCTCAGCAACAGAAGTTGGTCCAATAAAGGTATTACCTTACCCACCTTGTCTCTCTAATATGCTGGAACCAACATCGCAAACAAATTGCAATGCAGTTATTTCACTGGAGCTCATTTTAGCAGTTGACATTAGCGTGACACCTATTTTCCATTCTAATCCCCATGGGGAAAAGGTATACAGGAGAAATTTTCCTCCAAAAGTTTTAAGATCCATGAGTATGTGCTGCTGTTAACAATTTTGGTTAGTGCACAAGTGTGACTTCTTTCTTTTAGGCGGCTGACGTGAAATGCTCAAAGAAGCTATCTTTGCTAATGCACTCACGGATGAGACTCTCGCAGGAACAGTCCATTGTGCTGAGTGCAGTGCTGACTGGGAAGAACGTCTTCTTTACAGGCAGTGCTGGTGAGAAACTTTATAGCTGAAGTGAAGCAAGGTTACCCCACATGTCCTAACTGCACTCAAATTAGGGCTGAAAAGCTTTAGTCTGTGGTATTGTGAGCTCCAGGAAACCTTTGGGCCTATCCCGCATGGAACACTTTTAGCAAAAGTTTCACACCTGTGCTCCCACTGGCTTATCATGAAGAGGCTGTGTGCAAAAGGGCTTGTCCCATCAGTTTGAATTGTGGAAGAATGAAATAAAAGTTAAGAAAATGTTTAATCTCTTTTGTTGTTTGGACTCTCTGAGGGCCAAAACTATGAAACCAAAGCAGAGAGACCCAGTTTTAACCTGTGTTACCCCTAAAATTCACTCAGAGCTGACAGATTATTACAACTGTCACCTTTTGAAACCGTAGACTGCAACTCATTTGTGTGTTTTCCTGCTTTAACCTTTCAATAATTCTCTCATTTCTTTTCTTAATTACTAAATCTTTAAGGCTTAGATAGTTTACTATAGGATTGGATACAAGCATTGTCTTTGGTGTGAGATCTAAGGTATGAATTGACCTGGCATAAGTGACTGGTCCTTTACGACTGAGGGTAACCTGAATATCCTAAGTCTATCTTCTCTGTGTGGTAAGAGACACTGGGATGTCCATGGGGACTGTTTGTGACTCCATGGTAAGACTAAAACAACAAGGTGTCCTTGTGGCACCTTAGAGTAACAAATTTATTTGGGCATAAGCTTTCATGGGCTATAACCCACTTCATCAGATGCATGGAGTGAAAAATACAGTAGGCAGGCATAAATATACAGCACATGAAAAGATGGAAGTTGCCTTACCAAGTGGGGAGTCAGTGCTAACAAGGCCAATTCAATCAGGGTGGATGTGGCCCATTCCCAACAGTTGACAAGAAGGGATGAGTATCAGAGGGGAGAAGTACTACAAAAAGTAATACAAAAACCTGAGTCTTCATTAATCCGTGCTGATGTGCCCCTGCCTACAGCAGTAGGGAGGCCTGGGGGGAGGGCGTAGCTAAGCACCTCTTTAACATGATGAGGTTCATGGCCCTGTATCTTTAAATATGCCCTTTCTCATGCCTACCACCCCTCCCCCCCCTTTTTAAGCCATATGGTCTTGTAAGGGAGCAAAGGTTTTTGGGTTGTTGTCTTATGGCTTGTCAAAGTAGGGCATCACAATCTTACTTACACCAGTGTTGCCAATTCTTGTGATTTTTATCACAAGTCTTATTTTTTTTTGTTTTAAAATATCCAGCCCCTGGAGTCATGTGAGAATCTAATTTAATTTTAAGTGAAGTTTCTGGTTCTCATAGTTGCTGAGCAAATCATCAAATGAGAAGCCTAAAGATTCTTAAACCAGAAGGCAATTAAGAGAACTCACTTGTTTTTTTCTTTTTAAATCCAGTAGGTTTTGTTTTGTTTTTTTTGTCATGATTTTGGGGGCTTGATTAATAATTTTTTAACACTTGGAATTGGCACTGTTGCAACCTGCACTGTTGCAACCTACACATTCTGCAACGCTTAGTGCAGATGCACAATGTGTCAAGCCTTTTGTTTAAGTGTAGCTGTATCTAGCAATGTTTAAGAGTTCCCTTTTGGTATAAGGGATAAACTCTAATCAAAGATGCACATTAAAAAGTTGAATGAGGGAAAACAATTCAACTTTAGCAAAAAGTGAAATCTTTTAAATCATCCATGTTGGGGAGAGGTTTAGCCAATATAAATGATGACACTAACTAAGATGCTCTTATAGCTACCATGGTTTCTCCTCCATGACTGGGTTCCAGTGTGGGGAGTTTATGGAACCCTAAATGGGAGGGGTCAAATAACCCCTAAACTGCATCTTCTCTAAATGGACAAACAGAGCTAATCCTTTCCTGACATGGTTGGCTTTTACAACTACCTGAGCTCTATGTGGTCAGGCTGTTCTTGTCTTTTGTTCCTAGCGTTTTCTGACCTATGAGGTTTTGAATGAGCAGAGTGGAGGGTGGTATTAGGAGGAATTTGGGACTGGAATTCAAACCACATATATTTTTGGGGATATATCTCTAATGGTGTCAGGGGAAAGCTTCTTTCTGAAATAAATTTTATACTCTTCTAAAAGGGACTGGGAAGTCATATCTGCTGAAAAAGATTGTGGGTTCACTCCCCCCAAAGAGCACCTATGCTACAGCCAGTACAGGAGTAGCAGCTTGTCATATTGGTGGCACCACGCTCCATGCTTTTGCAGGTAAGGAGGATAACTTTCTGCTTGAGAACCTTCCCTGGCTTGCTGTGCTCTGGGGAAGATGAGTGGAAGGGACCTGGGAACTCTTGGCATTTTGGTAAAGATGATACTAACTCTGGATTCTCTCCTTTCATTAGGTATTGGTTCTGGGAAAGCTCCACTAGATCAGTGTATTGAGTTGGCTCAAAGAACTGGAGTGCATCAACATTGGTTGAGCTGCCAACACTTAATTATTGATGAGATTTCAATGGTGGAGGGCAAGTTTTTTGATAAGCTGGAGGCAGTAGCCAGGTGAGGGTCATGCAGCAAAGAGTCTTTATAAATGATCAAGTTCCCTGGATCACTTTGCTAGGAATGCCTTCCCCCTACCTCCTGTGGCTGTATTGGGAGGTAAGGTTTGCTAATGGCTAGAGTAGTTGGGAGTCTCTGGATTATGGAATCCTAGAAAGGGACCTCAAGAGGTAATCTAGTCCAACCCCTTGCCTTGACATAAGACCACATACGCAGAGACCATCCCTGACAGGTGTTTGTACAACCTGTCCTTAAAATGAAGGAGATTCCACAACATTCCTTGACCACCTAATTCAGTACTTAACTATCATTATAGTTAGATTTTTCCAATCTCTAATCTAATGCTCTTTGCTGCAGATTAAACTGATTACTACTTGTCCTACCTTCAATAGACATGAAGAACAATTGAATGCAATCTTCTTTATGACAGCTCTTTATCACATTTGAAGTCTGTAATCAGGTCCACCCTCAGTTTTTATTTCTCAAAACTAAATTTGCCCAGATTTTTTAAACTTTCCTCATAGGTGAGGTTTTCTAAACCTTTTATTATTTTTGTTCCTCTCCTCTGGGCTCTCTCCAATTTGTCTCCATCTTAACATGCGACAACCAAAACTGGACTGAGGCCTCCGACTGAGGCCTTAACAGCGCCAAGTAGAGCGGGACAATTACCTTTCATGTCTTGCGTACAACACACCTCTTAATACACCCCAGAATTAAATTAGCCTTTTTCACAACTGCATCACATTGACTCCTATTCAATTTGTGATCCACTATAACCTCCACATCCTTCTTGGCAGTACAACCATCTAGCCAATTGTTTTACATTTTGTAGATGTGCATTTGTGTTTTTTTGGTTTTTTCTTAGTATAGTATTTTGCACTTCTTTATTGTCTTATTTGTTGATTTCAGACCAATTCTCCAATTTATTAATGTCCTTTTGAATTCTAATCCTGTCCTCCAAAGCATTAGCAACTCCTTTCAGCTTGATGTCATTCATAAATTGTATATTCTATGTAAGCAGGGGTGAAAATGGGCCAGTACAGTGTACTGGTAAGAAGCCGGTACTGTCCCATGCACAGCTGACGTTAGTGTTGCCGCAGCCGTGCTATAATGTTGCTGCCCCTTTTTGCCCCCTCCTGTTTGGGGGGGGGGAGGGAAGGGGCAGCTGCCCCAAGGCCAGCGATTTAAAAGGGCCCAGGGCTCCTGGCTGCAGCAGCTGGACCCCAGGCCCTTTTAAATTGCTGCCAGAGCCCCAGGCAGCGCAGATGGGCTAGCTGCGGGAGGCTGACCCTCCAGCCCTGCCCCTTCTGCCCAAGGCCTTGCCCCAGGTCCTGCAGCCTGCTCCCTGTACTGGTAAGTGTTTAATATTACTTTCACCCCTGTATGTAAGAATACTCTCCACTCCAGCACTTAAGTCCTTAATGAAAATATTGAATAGTATTGGGCCCTGGACAGATAGATCCACTCAGTTTGACACTGAACCATTGATAACTACTCTTCCAGTAAGGACTTTTCAATCAGTTTTGCACCCACCTTTATAGTAATGTTATCTAGACCACATTTCCCCAGTTAGCTTGTGGGAATGCCATGTGGGGATGTGCCAAAAGCCTTTCTAAAATCAAGATGTCATGTCTGCTACTTCCCTACATATGCTAGGCCAGTAAACCTGTCAAAGAAGGAAATTAGGCTGGTTTGGTATGGCTTGTTCTTGACCAATCCTCTGTATCGATGAGGACTCCCAGCAAATTTCATGAGACCACTCCTATTTTTTGTGCCAAGGTAATTAATGAAAATATTAAATTATCACTCCCCTTACAGAGCTGTCAGGAAACGGGATGACCCATTTGGAGGAATACAGCTGATCATCTGTGGGGACTTCTTACAACTGCCACCAGTCAGCAAAGGCAATGAGGAAACCAAGTTCTGCTTCCAGGTGTGAAGCCATCCCTACCCACTACTTCAGACTTTGTTCATAGCTGTCTCATAATGAATGAACAACTTATTCACAGGCAAAGAGCTGGAGGAAATGCATCCACGTGAACATGGAGCTGACAGAAGTCCGGAGACAGACTGAAAAGAGCTTCATCTCACTCCTGCGTACAGTCCGCCTGGGCAGGTGAGGAGGAACCTCTTTCCTCCTTCCCACAGATGCCGAGTGTAGGGGGTGTCACTTGGCTACCTCCCCAACATCCTCTAAAGGTGGTATAGCTGGGTAGAGGCTGTTAAGGCACCTGGACACATCTTTGCCTCACCCACTCCCAAGCACCACTGCTTCTCAACTCCTTCTCCAACTAATGGAAGCAGTAACACTAGTTGCTCCTTGCCCAGTTAAGCAGGCTGCCTGCATTGTGATCGCTCATAGTCTCTGCTCCATGGTGTCCAGTTCACCTGCTGTGCTGACTGCTGATGGATCTCATGGTCTTGAGACACATGAACAATATGACAATGCTGGTATAAAATTAACAAATTAAACCTGATGTTCAATTCCTTGGAACCTAACCCTACACCTGGAAGTGTCCTTCCCTGTCTCTGTATAAGGTTGTGTGGGTGATTGAGCTGCTCTAGCAGGTGGGCATTAGGGAATGGGGAGGAGATGGTGTGGAGGGGGCAAGAATGTGCTTGTCACATGTATCCACCTTGTGAATAAATCATCTGAGGGGTAAAAAGTTTTGGTGATATCTCATGAAATCCCCATATGTTTGCTTTCAGTGACACTGAAAGCATTCAATGTTATCAATCTCTTATTGTTACATTTAGTGCAGCTCCTTTGATAGGACCAGTAGAGTAGATCTAGCAGTCAGCACAAGTCTGGAACAACACAATGAATTCAATGTAATGGCCTGTCTACATTTGTGCTCCCACTATGGCTAGTCCCAGAGATGCTCCATTAGAGCAGTAGTGGGAGACCTTAAGAACCTTAATGAGATAAGGCTATGGGGTGTGGGGAGAGCAGGGCTTGTATGCACAAGTTGAAATAACTCACCCTTCCAATAGGGGTAGTGACTTCGTGGTGGTTGCCCAGGATGTACAATAGATATCACTATTCTTGGCATTTCTCACCTGAGATCTCCTGTTGGAGACTTTAAATCTTTATTCCTTGTTATATTATTACGGTACTTATTTGCCACCCCAATCTCCACCAGGTGCACAGATGAGGTTACCAAGCAGCTGATGCAAACCGCTACCAACAGGGTCGAGAGAGATGGGATCCTTGCAACTCGTCTCTGCACCCACAGGGATGATGTGGAACTAACAAATGAGAGACGATTGCAACAGCTACCAGGTAAACACATGGGGCGAGAAAGCTGTTAATTTCAGCAGGAGGAGAGGACGCTGTAGATAATGAGGAATGAAGAACTGGCATTGTGGAGCTCAAGCTGCTCTACCAGCGGGCATTGTGGATATGAGGCATTATTGTAGGGTCAGACCTGCCTAGGGTTTTAAAAAAATACATGTAAAATTGGCATAAACTATGCCTAACAAATGTCCCATTACACATGCACTCACTCCAACAGCTGTAGACCAGACCTGCCCCTTAATTTGTTTATTTCCCCCATTCCTAGTCTCCCCTCCCATCCAATACCTCATGCAGGCCTGGCCCTTCTCAGGAGGTCTGCTGCTTCACTGCAAGTTAAGTGTTTCATGCCCAGAGAGTCTTCCCCAGCTGTCTCTGGGTGGTCTTGCTGGAAAAACTAGAGGGGGGTGGGGAGGTCTTGCATTCATCCATTGGCAAAGGCATAAAAGGGAGGAGACTGCCATTGTTCTAACAACTGACCTGAAGCCAGAGACTTATCAGGGAGGTAGGTGCTGGAATGGGGGTCTACCAGCTGGAGACTCCTGGGACACATAGGTCCATTATAAAAACTGTTTCATCTTGGAGCACAAACTGCGGACTCCAAAGCCTCTCTGTGCTAAACTTCCTTTCATGATAGCTTTGATTGTGAGAGGGAAATGGAGCAAGAAGGTGGCCACACTCTTAAAGCTGCAATTGAAGTCTGACTGCTCAGTGCCTGGCCTCTCGGGGCATATCTGTGCTGCAATGTAAACTCCTGCTTGACCCCAGGCTCAAGCCCTCCCACCCCCACTTGACTCTACACTGTAATTGCATTAACCCAGGACTCAGACCCAGCATCCCAGGATGCTGCTGGGCTGGAGGGTCCAAGCTCCAGTTAAGCCACACCTGACTTGGGTCCCAGGAATTGGCCAGAAGTATCCCATGGAACTATGGGATAACTTCCTTAGTCGTCTCTATCCCAGTAATCTGCAATCCACACTATTAAAAACAGACCTTTTTGTGGGACGGAAAACAGGGCCGAAACATCCACGAGTGCCTCATGGATGGTCTGTTAGTTTCCTGACACAGGAGTGAAAGTGCAAGCAAGAGAAGTTCATCAAAAGGCACCTTCTCCATGTTGCTCCAGTAGCAGACCAAAAATGACTGCTCAGCAGTCTGGGTTGGTGGACTGTTCAACCTTCCTGTAACATGCAGGGCAGGCAGTAAAGTTTTCCCACAGTACACCATGGTCCTGGGGCTAGAGTGGCCACACTATTTTGTGGGTGGGAGAAGAGAGCACACTAGGGACTCTGGGATGTGGTTACTTTGACTCAGGTCTGCACTCTGCAGTGTGCATGCCAGTGCCCTAGATTCAAGCATGGGTTAGAAAAGCCTTAACAAAGGGTTAAACTACAATGTAGATGCTCCAGCCCAGGGTTCCCTAACATGGGTCAACTGACTTGAGTCCCACTAATCCTGGGCTTACATTCTAGTGTAGACATACCTTCAGATTCACAAACTCTGGAAGGCATAAATTGGAGCAGGAGGTAGGGGAGGGCCAGCAGGGGCTTTCTCCTGTTGGAAGCTACTGGAAGAGATCCTTTCTGGGGTGTACAAGAGTTGTGTGTGGAGAGCTGGATTTCTGGGCCTGAGTTCAGAATAGAAAGTAAGAACCCTTCTGGCTCAGTCTGGAGAAACCTGCTGTGTGGAGTGAGTGCCAAGCCTTCCCCATATTTAGGGACTTTGTTGTGTGATAACTCTGATGGTAAGTCCATGTTTGTATTGCTTCTTCCTCACCAGGAGAAATCCACTCCTATGAGGCTGTGGATAGTGATCCCATGCTAGTCAAAGCAATTGATGCCCAGTGTCCAGTAAGTCGCTGTATTCGGTTGAAACCAGGAGCCCAGGTGAGCATGTGCATATTCTATGGGGAGTAACGGCCAACGGAAGGATTAGAGTCAGTATTTGGGGAAAGATTTTAAAGATAACAGCACAGGGATGTGGAGTGGGTGTGAAATGGAAGCACCCCTCAGACCCCAGGCTGTTCTAAAGAAACAGGCTATTACATTAATTTATAAGATGTCCTTCCCCACTTGATGAAAGTGATGAAAGCCACTTGGTTTAAATTCAAAGTCTCAATCTCTGCTTGGAGACTGATTGACCAAGGTGACTGCTTGCTCTGTCTCCAATGGAGAAGAGACATTGGATGCACAGCACAGAATCACACTAAGTACAGATGGGGTGGGGACTGGAGGAAAAGGCACTTTAAAGCCACTTTTGTGCTGCCTGGATTCTAGGCTGCTCAGCTCTTAGCATAAATTAGAGCTAGGCTTCTTATGGACTATGGCACAGCTCAGAATCCCTGCAGTACCATGTGTTAAGGCTCTGGCCTCCCATCACCAGTACACCCTGTACACCAGGGCTTGGGGGTGAGGGGCACAATAGGGCTGCTTACAATGGCCCTACACTGTCTGCATTGGAGAATTGTTCCCTGGCCACTTTCAGTTTCTTTAAAGTCCCTGTAAACTGCTGGAGTGTGGGGAGGAATCTTCCCAGAGATCCAAGTGTCACTATTATGTGACTTTGGTTGTAGACAGAACCAATTCACAATCTTCCCAAAGCAATTTCACAGAGTAAAGGGGTGATGGGATCTGTGCCCTGTGAGGCTCAACAGCTGAGAGCCCTGGGGAGGAAGGAGCTCTGGGATGGCTTCACTGTGAGGTGATTCCACCTACTGTTGCTAGGTCCCACAGTAACATTAACAGTATCAGCCAATTATTCTGACTCCTCTGAGTTAGGAGCAGAACTGGGGCAAGGCAGGTGAATGAATAGGGCTGTAAGGCAGGGGCACCAAACAAATCTAGGCATTTTTCCCCTCCACTATAGGTAATTCTTACTAAGAACCTGGATGTGTCCCGGGGTCTGGTGAATGGGGCAAGAGGGGTTGTGGTTGAATTCGAAGCTGACGGGAAGGGTGAGTATATAATGTTAAGGTTGCCAGTTTTGGTTGGCTGTATTCCAGGAGACTTCATCACATGACATAATCTGTAATTAAAGATTAATCTTTAATTTCTGGAGACGCCAGGACAATTCTGGAGGGTTGGCAACCCTATATGATGTGCTTATGACTGTGCCAGTGGCAGCTGTTAGTTTTACTGCAATTCCTTGGCGGGGGGGAGTAATCATTTCTGCAACATCAAGTTCTCCCTGCCTGTGAGAACCAAGAATCAGGCCAAGCCCCCAGGTATAGCTGCTTAAGGGTTTTCTGTGTGTGCTTTTCATCATTCTCTGGCTCTGCATGCTTGCTTGCTCTTATCTGGTTTCTGACCATGTCCACTCATGCTCTCTCCTTGCAGCAGTACATCTTTCCAATAGCAAGAACAAATGTAGCTTTTTGGCAATGCAGTGTTCCAACCCTCCACCGCACTATTTCATGTTTTCTCTGCTCTGTTTCTGGCCTGGTAAATAGTTCTGTTCATTCTCCTGCTTAAGGGTGCCTTCTCTGAATGCTTTACAGTGTCATCTCACTCCAGCAAGAACCACTGTGCTAGAGGAGCAGCAGAATTGAGTTGTGCTTCTATAAATAGAGCCCCAAGGTCCATGGAAGAGTTGGTCTGAAATGGGAAGGGATAAGGAAGGGAAAAGGGTAAACTTAGGCTCCTGCTTCCTGGGAACACTGGTACCAGAGGGACATTCCTTATTCTGACCTGCTCTTCTCTCCCAGGACTGCCCCAAGTGAGGTTTCTTTGTGGGGTCACAGAGTTAATCAGGCTGGAGCGCTGGGTCTTCAAAGGTCCATCTGGAATTTATCTGAGTCGTCAACAGTTGCCTCTAAAATTGGCATGGGCCATATCCATCCACAAGAGCCAGGTTAGTACTTTTATAGAGACTGCCACAAAAAGTATTCTCCTTTACCTTCATATTCTTAGCATGCTTATGCCACTGGCAGTAGTGGGAGAGGGGAGCACTAGGGCACCTGTGTGGGTTGGGGGAAGTGGAGGTTTTGGGGGCAGGGTTGCCTAAAGATGCTTGCACTGCTGATGACAGGGAAGAAGGAAACTGCCTTATCTTCCTCCCTTTGCTTTGGTTAAGGTATGTTGGCTCAAAGGGTACTACCATTCATGGTTCTGGAGCAACAGGCCTGAAAACATTACCCAGTCTCTTGGAGTTAAATCCTCTTCCTTTTTTACTCTGTAGGCATGTATTTAGGCACAGCAGAGTCAATGTTCAACAGGTTGTTACTTTAACTGGAGTTACCAAATGGTTCAGTTTAAGCAGAGCACTGGATTGGTTTAAGTTAAAAAATTAAAACCTGTTTATTAACAAAAGAAAAGATTAAGTGAATTCAAATATGAGAAAGTTAGAAATACATCTAAAAGGCTAAAACTTAATCTAGCAAATTTTGGTTTAAGGCTCTGTTTGCTCACCAACAGTCTTCCAGCAAGGTAGTGATTGACCTTTCCTTGGTCATTATCTCTCCCAGAGATCCAAAGGTGCTGGTGCCTTTGTCTTATGTGAAAGATACCTTGGAGTTTTCTGTCCCTTTCTTTTATAGTCCAATGAACCTCTGAAGTGGATTCTTCTCATGTTATCCTTCCAAGTATAGTTTATTCAAGCAGTAGGTGGTGACATGGAGTCCAGTGGTGAAGGAGATAAAATCCAAATTGTTCTGTTCCCTGTCATCTCTTCCCCCTGCTGTGTTGAGGACGCTGTTTACTACATATATGTAAATTGTGGTAAACACATTCTTTGAGTGATGGTCCCTGCTGTATTCCACTGGGATTATGCCCAGAGATGGAGCTTTTGAAAGTAGTATTGGATGGCAGTCCGTGTATGCACCTGCACCACCTTGTGGTTTCAGATGAGGTGATTAAAGGGTGCAGCAGGCCACAAGCATCTCCAGTCCTTTCTCACTGATCCAAGTCAGAGCTTCTCCTATCCTCTTGTCCTTCATAGAATACCATGGTTGGAAGGGACCCCTGAAGGTCATCTAGTCCAACCCCCTGCTCGAAGCAGGACCAATTCCCAGTTAAATCATCCCAGCCAGGGCTTTGTCAAGCCTGACCTTAAAAACCTCTAAGGAAGGAGACTCTACCACCTCCCTAGGTAACGCATTCCAGTGTTTCACCACCCTCTTAGTGAAAAAGTTTTTCCTAATATCCAACCTAAACCTCCCCCACTGCAACTTGAGACCCTTACTCCTCGTTCTGTCATCTGCTACCATTGAGAACAGTCTAGAGCCATCCTCTTTGGAACCCCCTTTCAGGTAGTTGAAAGCAGCTATCAAATCCCCCCTCATTCTTCTCTTCTGCAGACTAAACAAGCCCAATTCCCTCAGCCTCTCCTCATAAGTCATGTGTTCTAGACCCCTAATCATTTTTGTTGCCCTTCGCTGGACTCTCTCCAATTTATCCACATCCTTCTTGTAGTGTGGGGCCCAAAACTGGACACAGTACTCCAGATGAGGCCTCACCAATGTCGAATAGAGGGGAACGATCACGTCCCTCGATCTGCTCGCTATGCCCCTACTTACACATCCCAAAATGCCATTGGCCTTCTTGGCAAGAAGGGCACATTGCTGACTCCTATCCAGCTTCTCGTCCACTGTCACCCCTAGGTCCTTTTCCGCAGAACTGCTGCCTAGCCATTCGGTCCCTAGTCTGTAGCTGTGCATTGGATTCTTCCGTCCTAAGTGCAGGACCCTGCACTTATCCTTATTGAACCTCATCAGATTTCTTTTGGCCCAATCCTCCAATTTGTCTAGGTCCTTCTGTATCCTATCCCTCCCCTCCAGCGTATCTACCACTCCTCCCAGTTTAGTATCATCCGCAAATTTGCTGAGAGTGCAATCCACACCATCCTCCAGATCATTTGTGAAGATATTGAACAAAACCAGCCTCAGGACCGACCCTTGGGGCACTCCACTTGATACCGGCTGTCAACTAGACATGGAGCCATTGATCACTACCCGTTGACCCCGACAATCTAGCCAGCTTTCTACCCACCTTATAGTGCATTCATCCAGCCCATACTTCCTTAACTTGCTGACAAGAATACTGTGGGAGACCGTGTCAAAAGCTTTGCTAAAGTCAAGATACAATACATCCACTGCTTTCCCTTCATCCACAGAACCAGTAATCTTATCATAAAAGGCAATTAGATTAGTCAGGCATGACCTTCCCTTGGTGAATCCATGCTGGCTGTTCCTGATCACTTTCCTCTCATGCAAGTGCTTCAGGATTGATTCTTTGAGGACCTGCTCCATGATTTTTCCAGGGACTGAGGTGAGGCTGACTGGCCTGTAGTTCCCAGGATCCTCCTTCTTCCCTTTTTTAAAGATTGGCACTACATTAGCCTTTTTCCAGTCATCCGGGACTTCCCCGGTTCGCCACGAGTTTTCAAAGATAATGGCCAATGGCTCTGCAATCACAGCTGCCAATTCCTTCAGCACCTCGGATGCAACTCGTCCGGCCCCATGGACTTGTGCACATCCAGCTTTTCTAAATAGTCCCTAACCACCTCTATCTCCACAGAGGGCTGGCCATCTCTTCCCCATTTTGTGATGCCCAGCGCAGCAGTTTGGGAGCTGACCTTGTTAGTGAAGACAGAGGCAAAAAAAGCATTGAGTACATTAGCTTTTTCCACATCCTCTGTCACTAGGTTGCCTCCCTCATTCAGTAAGGGGCCCACACTTTCCTTGGCTTTCTTCTTGTTGCCAACATACCTGAAGAAACCCTTCTTGTTACTCTTGACATCTCTTGCTAGCTGCAGCTCCAGGTGCGATTTGGCCCTCCTGATTTCATTCCTACATGCCCAAGCAATATTTTTATACTCTTCCCTGGTCATATGTCCAACCTTCCACTTCTTGTAAGCTTCTTTTTTATGTTTAAGATCCGCTAGGATTTCACCATTAAGCCAAGCTGGTCGCCTGCCATATTTACTATTCTTTCGACTCATCGGGATGGTTTGTCCCTGTAACCTCAACAGGGATTCTTTGAAATACAGCCAGCTCTCCTGGACTCCTTTCCCCTTCAAGTTAGTCCCCCAGGGGATCCTGGCCATCCGTTCCCTGAGGGAGTCGAAGTCTGCTTTCCTGAAGTCCAGGGTCCGTATCCTGCTGCTTACCTTTCTTCCCTGCATCAGGATCCTGAACTCAACCAACTCATGGTCACTGCCTCCCAGATTCCCATCCACTTTTGCTTCCCCCACTAATTCTACCCGGTTTGTGAGCAGCAGGTCAAGAAAAGCACCCCCCCAGTTGGCTCCTCTAGCACTTGCACCAGGAAATTGTCCCCTACGCTTTCCAAAAACTTCCTGGATTGTCTATGTACCGCTGTATTGCTCTCCGAGCAGATATCAGGAAAATTAAAGTCACCCATGAGAATCAGGGCATGCGATCTAGTAGCTTCCGTGAGTTGCCGGAAGAAAGCCTCATCTACCTCATCCCCCTGGTCTGGTGGTCTATAGCAGACTCCCACCACTACATCACTCTTGTTGCACACACTTCTAAACATAATCCAGAGACACTCAGGTTTTTCTACAGTTTCATACCGGAGCTCTGAGCAGTCATACTGCTCCCTTACATACAGTGCTACTCCCCCACCTTTTCTGCCCTGCCTGTCCTTCTTGAACAGTTTATAACCATCCATGACAGTACTCCAGTCATGTGAGTTATCCCACCAAGTCTCTGTTATTCCAATAACATCATAGTTCCTTGACATCACCAGGACCTCCAGTTCTCCCTGCTTGTTTCCAAGGCTTTGTGCATTTGTATATAAGCACTTGAGATAACCTGCTGATCGCCCCTCATTCCCAGTATGAGGCAGGAGCCCTCCCCTCACAGACATTCCTGCCTGTGCTTCCTCCCGGTATCCCGCTTTCCCACTTACCTCAGGGCTTTGGTCTCCTTCCCCCGGTGAACCTAGTTTAAAGCCCTCCTCACTAGGTTAGCCAGCCTGCTCGCGAAGATGCTCTTCCCTCTCTTCGTAAGATGGAGCCCGTCTCTGCCCAGCACTCCTCCTTCATGGAACACCATCCCATGGTCAAAGAATCCAAAGCCTTCTCTCCGACACCACCTGCATAGCCATTCGTTGACTTCCACGATTCGACGGTCCCTACCCAGGCCTTTTCCTTCCACAGGGAGGATGGACGAGAACACCACTTGCGCCTCCAACTCCTTTATCCTTCTTCCCAGAGCCACGTAGTCCACAGTGATCCGCTCAAGGTCATTCTTGGCAGTATCATTGGTGCCCACGTGGAGAAGCAGGAAGGGGTAGCGATCCAAGGGCTTGATGAGTCTTGGCAGTCTCTCCGTCACATCGTGAATCTTAGCCCCCGGCAAGCAGCAGACTTCTCGGTTTTCCCAGTCAGGGCGGCAGATAGATGACTCAGTCCCCCGGAGGAGAGAGTCCCCGACCACCACCCGCCTTCTCCTCTTGGGAGTGGTGGTCGTGGAACCCCCAACCTCAGGACATCACATCTCATGCCTTCCAACCAGCGGAGTCTCCTTCTGCTTTCTCGCCCCAGACATATCATCTGGTCCACTCTCCGCAACAGTACCTGTGGAGAGAACATGAAAGCAGTTAGTTACCTGTGTCTGTTACTGGAACCCGGACATTCCGCTTACCTCTTCTGGAGGTCACATGTTGCCAAGCTTCTTCACTGGCCTCTTGGCTCCTCTGTGCAACCTGCTCTATATCTTTAGAGCTTTGTGCCCCTAGAAGCCTATCCTGAGTTTTGTCCAGAAAATCCTCAGTTTCTCGTATGCAACGCAGGGTCGTTATCTGTTGCTCCAGACCTTCAATCTTCTCTTCCAATATGGAGACCAGCTTGCACTTTACAAAGTCACTTCTGTCCTGTGGAAGAAAGAC